TAGCACACACACTTTTTGCCCCGCTCCCCTCAGGAAGGAGGTTGAGGAGCATTAAGTGTAGAACCACTAGACTGAGGAACAGCTTCTACCCTGAGGCTGTTGGACTCATGAGTCTCTAACCAGAATAATCACTGAAAAGCCACTTTAATTGGTGACATGTGACTTTATCTGTGCTGCTGATTTCTTGCCTTTAAGCTGCTTTATTCTTACCCATCTGCTCACAACAGCCTCATGTTCAGGCTGCTGTTTAATACGCCGTATTATATTATATTATTATTGTTTAGTGTATATCTTAGATCCTTGTATACTGTTTCTTTTTTATACTTTGTTTTTGCTATTTTTGGATGTAACTGGGACCTTGAGTACACAGTTTCGTTCCACCTCATGTACCATATGTGATGCGATTGACAATAAAAAACTTTGAACCTTGAACCTTATGTTCTAGTTCAAGTGTGTTTCATTCTGTACAGGGGTGAACTGTTGTCAGCCAGATGTCAGAGGACCAGAGTTCTGTAGAGTCTCCTGTGTTTTGCCTCATTAGGCTAAGTTGTTTGGGTGAAGTGGCAGTCAGAGCTCCTGCAGCATGAAATGAGCCCACAGCACGGGAGCAGATGGAAAAGATGCTATGAGAAGTTTAATCGCCTAGAACAATGCTGTTTGGGTCGCAGTACCGATCCTCTCAGATGAGGCTGTCAGGTTTGCCGGAAGGAGCACAGTGACTCAAATAGATCATCACAGATAAACAACGAGAGCACGCACAAGCAAACAACTTCACAGTTAAACTTCAGCAAATCAGTTTTCCATTGATGGTGAACTGGGTGGGACAAAATATTACCGGTACAGTAAAATGGACGTTCAGAGAGCAAGTTGTTGGAGAATGGTATTAGACTGACTTAACACCAGTATTATAATGTGGGTGTGAAAGTTTACAACCCAACCAGACAAATACAGACTTTAGTTTAAAGTGTGAAGTTTTACGTTTTCTTTACAACGAGTGGTCTGCAATAACCGTTAGGTCTTGGTGTACTTTGTTTTGTTTTTCATTTAAATGTGCTTATCCAGGACTGAGAGTGAAAGTGAGGCAGAGGAGGAGGAGGAAGAGGAGGAGATCCCATTACTGTCTGAGGAGGAGATGAACAAACTTGGGTCTAAGCTGATAAAGGCAGAGATGATGGGAAATACGGTGCGTTTCTGACGTAATGCTGCTGCTTTCTTCTCTCATTCACAAATTTGTTCCTTACATGACATCGTTTGTTTTATTGGAAGAATAAATTCATCCATTCATCCATCATCTTTACCTGCTTCTTCTTCCTCCTCGGGTTGCTGGGGTCACTGGTGCCCATATCCAGCCGTCACTGCGAGAGGCCAGGTACACCCTGGACAGGTCTCCAGTCCATCACAGGGACACACAGAGACAAACGAGACAAACAACCATTCACTCTCTCACTCACACCTAGAGACAATTTAGAGTTACCAATCAGCCTAACATGCATGTTTTTGATCTGTGGGAGGAAACCGGAGCACCCAATAGACCCAGTAAACCCAATAAAGCAGCATTCTTGTTGCAACATTAGAAATCTGGATGTGACTCCGTCACATTGTCGCGTGAATGTTTATGAAGCATTCACTCCATTGATCCTTTTTTCTTCTGTACATATTTCAGCATCTTTCTCGTTCCATCATTTTTGTGCTATTTCAACAAACCATACATCAACACGTTCAGCTCCTTCAGGACAATCCTGCTATGACTTTTGGTATTGGTGCAACTTTAGCGTTTAGAAACATTTAGCCTTTTCTGACCGTTTTTTTTCTCATAGAAAATGAATTGAGCTCATTTTTCATCCTTCATATATTTAGATCTGTTTACAACCTTTTGTTCTGCTTCAGCTTCTTTCAGCTGTTTTCAGATAAATTAAGTTTTTCATGATAATTTCTGCTACTTTCAGCCTAATAACTTCTGTTTGCTAATTGCAGCCTGTTATGCTCCTTTCAGCTTTTTTCTGTTAGTTTCAACTTTTTTTTTGCTATTTCAGCTACTTTTTAGCTGTTTTCTACTAAATTTAGCTTTTTCACCTAATTCCATAAATATTTTTAGCTCATTTCAGCTCCTTCTACTTCATTCTGGGAGTTTAAGCTTCTTTCTGCCTTTCAGTTACTTTTTAGTCATTTTTTGCTAATTTTAGCCTTTTTTTTAAGCTCATTTTCTAATTTTTGTACTGATTTCTGCTTATTTAAACCTAATTCAACAAATGTGTGTGCTTTCTGCCTTCTTATGCTAATTTAGGCTTGTTCTTCCATTTCAGCATGTTTTTTTTAGCTAATTTCAGCTGTTCTCATTAAGTTCTTCTGCAATAAGCATTCATGCTGCATTTTTGCAAGAAATGCAACTTCTCTAGTTATTACTAGTATAATTCTAAAAGCTGTTCTAGCATATTTTATTTTATTTTCTGATAGCTAAAACATTTATAGTTCTGTCTGTGAAAGCTTTAGATGGTCGACAGAATACAGATGTTTTATAGTTTAAAAACCTTAAAGCACTTCTAGTTTAATATACTTTTCTTTCAGTCAAACAGATGTTTAAAATCTTTTAAAGTGCTTTTATCTATAATTCTCCATGAATCCTAAACACCTTTCAAAGTTATTTTTTTAACTCTTCACTGCTTTTACACTTATTTTCTGTTTGTACCTGACTATGCCATCATATTGCGCACTTCATTAATATTCTTTAAACATGAAGATATGTGTTAAATGACAGGAGCAAAAACATTAAACTTTTCTAAACTGGAGAGTTCTTTGTACGCATCAGCCATTATTTTCCCCTTCGTCCGTGCTTTGGTCTTTAATAGATTGTTTACAGATGTCGCAGTATAAAAGTGAACCCTCGACCTGTGTAACTTAAATCAACTCTAAACTGAAATTATATTTTGGCCGACAGAGGATTGCAGGTGAGCATAAATTATGTCTGATCAGCGTCTTTGGTTATATTTGTGTGTTTTTTCAGGCCTTGGTGGAGAAACTGAAATCACAGCTGGAAGCAGCTCAAAAAGCCAAGGAGAACCACTCTGCCAGAGTGAAGAAACATGAAACGGCTCAATCTAATCAGGTGAGCATGCCACTGTTTAATCAGTTAACTGTCTTATTCTCTGTCTCTTCACCAGGACACATTCAGGCTTAGTGTCTGACCTAGAAGTAGTGTTTTGTCTTTCAACAGTTGAAGTCCTGAGTGTCCTCTCAGAAAAATAGTGATGGAGGACAAATCCTCCCATTTCAGGGACTTGAGATGAGGCTATGATAAGCAGACACATCAATTCAGCTGAACACAACAGATAAAAACAAAGTCATTAACTGACCAAAACCTTTCAGTTCTATTCAGTTTATTTATATAACACCAAGTCACAACAGAAGTTGTCTCAGGGCAATGATCAGAAACATTCATATATTTACAAAAAACAGTTAGTAAATTAGTCAATTAGTAAAAGTTATCTTTCTAAGGAAGGAAGCCAGCAGACTCGTTAAATCTTCACTTCGTCACAGTCTCCTTTAGTGTGGCTAATTAAAAAAAGAACAATTAAAACATCATTCTTGGTTATTTGTTCTCACACTGTTATCTGACATTTGGAAATGTCAAACTTTTATGTGCGTGTGTGTGCATGTGCGTATGTTTTTGTTTCAGGTTACTTTGTGGGGACCAACTGCTCCTTGAGGGGACCAAAGCCTTGTCCCCATAAGGATAAGTCTTGTTGGGGGGTTAGTTGTTAGGTTTAGGACTAAGGTGTGAATTGTGGATGGGTTAGGTTTAGGCACGTACTAGTAATGGTTAGGTTTAGGCATGAACTAGTAATAGTTAAGTTTAGGCATGAACTAGTAATAGTTAGGTTTAGGCATGAACTAGTAATAGTTAGGTTTAGGCATGTACTAGTAATAGTTAGGTTTAGGCATGAACTAGTAATAGTTAGGTTTAGGTATGTACTAGTAATAGTTAGGTTTAGGCATGTACTAGCAATAGTTAGGTTTAGGCATATACTAGTAATAGTTAGGTTTGGGCATGAACTAGTAATAGTTAGGTTTAGGCATGTACTAGTAATGGTTAGGTTTAGGCATGTACTACTAATGGTTAGGTCTAGGCATGTACTAGTAATGGTTAGGTTTAGGCATGAACTAGTAATGGTTAGGTTTAGGCATGAACTAGTAATAGTTAGGTTTAGGCATGTACTAGCAATAGTTAGGTTTAGGCATGTACTAGTAATGGTTAGGTTTAGAAATGTACTAGTAATGGTTAGGTTTAGGCATGAACTAGTAATAGTTAGGTTTAGGCATGTACTAGTAATGGTTAGGTTTAGGCATGTACTAGTAATGGTTAGGTTTAGGCATGTACTAGTAAAGGTTAGGTTTAGGCATGTACTAGTAATGGTTAGGTTTAG